TAGCAGGCGAGAGGTTGCCTGTTCCAATTCCTCAGTTTCTCTTTTCAACGGTAGGCTTACAGTATAGGTGTTGCCTATATTCCTTGTTGTTGTTTCTTGATGCCTTTCCTCGCATTGGTCATCTTCCTGCGATATGGTTGCGTATTGGATTTGGAATTGTTCAATTTCCCAGAATTTTGTCAGCGCGTGATAGAGACGGGGCTTTCCAGGCAACCTTTGTTTGTCCTGAACCCATCCAACCCTAAAATATCAGATAATTCGCTGCTTATTATGATATCGTGGATGTCGTCCGAGAGCTGCGGCAACCCCGTCTTGTTGCAACGTTCCTCATCCAGTTCGGACCGTGTGTTCTGGATAAGCATCAAATCTTATTTGCTTCTGTGGATGTCTGGGTGCCTGTGACACAGGCTGGGTAGGGAAGGTATTTTTTGGAAACTTCACTCTCCAGATATCGTGGCGAATGGGCTTGCATTTGTTCCCATCGCTATCGCATTGGAAATTAAAATCGTTACCCCTTGGCTTGCCTCAATTTGGGATGTTGTCTCGTTCGGACTCACCGGAGAACCCGTTAACAGAGCAGCGTGTCGGCGCTTGTAAAACTTCTTGGCAAATATTTATTAGGTCACGTTCAAGTTATTCTGTCGATTGAAACCCGTCGAACTTAATTTTTTACCTTTGGCAAGTTTATGCGAGACGTCTTTGTTTGAAATTATACCTGTCGCTTCATTTCCGGCAAATTGTATCGTTTTACGTGATAAAAATTGGTAATATAAGGTTTCATATCTGGCGCTGCGAGTTGGGTTTCTCTGACAATGAGATAGCTACATTTCTGCTATGTAGGCATTTTTAGCGCATTTTTTAAGAATTAAAAAAAATGCCATGTGGAACTAGTGGAACTAGTTTTATCCTTCATGGTACTCTAATGAAAGGAATTAATTTTTACCAACCATAGCCCTCCTCCTCGAACTCGGAAGAGGGTACTCACAAAGGGCGATTGAGACGTCTGCAAGAAATATATCCATTGGTGATGTCAAAACAAAAGCTATTTCGGTTAAAAAAATGCGCTTTATCTGCACAGGAGTTGTGCACAATTTGTGCTTGTTTTATTTATAAGGGTTTCCTGATAGCTTTGTTTACAAGTTTTGTTAACTTTTGTTATACGATATAGTTTAATATACGAATATCTGTAGGAATTACCGTCAAGAACCTCTTTATACAAGCCACCTTGACAATTGTTTAAGCATCTCATTGGAAACTTCCTTGGAAATATTCTAAATCTAAAGCAAGTAATTTTCATATGACCCTTTAGACATCTCAGAAATCAGTAATCATTAGAAACTTTCTTTAAAATTACCTGACAAATCTATAACTTCTTAACATTTTCCGAGACTTAAGAAAGCTGGTTAGAAATGTTTGTTTAGTTTTCCTTTAAAAACGTAATTAAAATACATTAGTTTTATTTTCTTCTAAAAGTCCTGGTCCTGACAGTCCGCTTTAGAATTTCATTGGACATATTTAGCAAATCTGTTCGGAAAATTCTTTAGCAACTACACTGAGAATCGTTTTAGAAACCTCTTACGCAACAGTTTTTCTTCACTAAATGTCTAATATAAAGATTTCATTACGAGTCTGCTTACAAATTTCCGTATTTCTTTGCACCCTTGTATTTCGTAAGAATTTTTCGAGACATCGATCCATTTAAAAAAATAGACGACGAAGATAAATAGTTGTGCATCTCCATCCAATGCAGCGCACGTTTCCTTAATAGGACTCAAAAGCCTGATCAAATGCAGGCAGCATCCCTAAGCCAGTGATCTACCCAACGATTGCATCGACTCATACATTAATTGCCTAATCCTTTAGAATACAATTTTATTTTATTCGGTTTTAAAGAATCTAGTACCCCACGAATATCAACAGCTTAACACCAAATAGGCTCTCGCCCTAACTGTTAATTAAATAATGAGCGCCCCTCATCAAAGCTGATGCACAAAGGCCGAAGAAGAATTGATTAGCATACAAAATCAGTCGTGATAATTAAAATTTCTTTTGTTAATGTGAGTGTGATCGGTGACAATTTTTTACGTCACTCTCAAAGTTTAATTAGACACGAGGTGGAAATATAGATTTACACTAATTTGGAGTATAATAATGTGAGCAAATTAATTATCATTTCCCCGGCGATATTCTCGTAGAAGAAAGTTGTTAAAACTTCCTTAACGATCACAGAAACTTCCCTCCGAAGTTTTTATTTTCGAGTGCTTCGAGCACCTTCAGAGTACTAATTAAAAGTTAAATACGGCCAATTGTTTTGAGTGTACAGACAGCGGTCTTTTATATACAAATTTCTAATGTACTTTTAATTAACGAGCGCAAATAATGTGTGGGGATGATAAATTAAAAATTGAGTGTGTTTGATTAGCTCAATAATTCAGTTTTAAGCTTCAATTTTATATACTCACTCGAGAAATTTAAATACGGATGGCAAAGTAGCATTAGATTTGTTTAAATAATCACATTTGTCGGAAGTATATTTGTTGTCTAGTTGCAGGGGAGGGGGATCTCGTTCTTCAAGGTTAAAATAATACCGACGATGAGACCGAGCCACTCTGTAGTTGAAAATTTACGTGCTGTGAACGCAGGTTAGGTTTGGCACTGAAGGTTTCAGACGAGACATTCTGTACAATGTTGTGATTTATTTTGTTGCGGACTTGAGCACAGAATTTTGGGATTTTATTTAATGATCATTGTAATGTTTAGTTTTTTTAAATTGTAAATTGTGAATTTGGATAACTAACTTAAGGATTGTTATTGTATTTAATGAGTGTATGCAATTCAAGGAACGCATAAGTACAGAAAGATTTAATTTAAATCGGCATAAGAAAGTCTTATCAGGACACGTGTGCGTATAAAAGCTGTTATCGGGCAAATTAATTGGACGGTTTTGATAAGACGGCACCTGCATTGATAAGCGGAAAAATAGAGTGCAGGTGTCAATTGCTTAAATAAGTGGAAGTTAACGATGGGGCAGTCCGAGTGATTGTGAGAGTAAAGTTTCGTCAGTAATCGCGTTCCGTTGGACGAATTTCATCCTGAATAAAGTCAACAGCAGGATTTCTCTTTGTGCCATACTCTGAGTTTAGTTTTGAGAGTTAATACAATTGAGAATAATGGTAATTGTGAGCTAGCTAGGTAGGAGTCCGTACGGATTTGCTTTTATTTTTTGTCTGTGCCCGAAGGTAAGGGTCACACCAACATTAATCCGGTCAAGTTAGCATGAAAAATCACCCTTGCATAAATTCCCAAGAAGCTAAAAATTCACATGAACGTTAGGGATACAATTATAATGAAATTGCGAAAAATCCCCATCGATCACATGTGTGCAAAAAATTTTATTCAAGGTCAAAGTTCGAAAAAGTGGGTTTTCTGGATTTTTTAGCGAAGCGGTTAGTTTTACGATAAAAATAGTTCAGACAAAAATTGTAGATCATGCAATTATATACAAAAAATGTCCTTACACTTGAGAAAAAGCGATTCCAAAATTTACTAAAGTTGTATTCTCTACTTTGACGTGGTTTCCCCAGTAGGCCTACTCCAAGGTCTATTTTATTTAATCCTAGTAGAATAATAGGTCTTCTCATTCAATTTATTCTTCTTTTTCCTCTTCTCCTTCTCCATAAACTTCTTCTCGTTTTTCTTCGTCTTCTTCTTCCTGAGTCGACATAATTGTTTAAACAGTGATACATCAGGTGTTTCGTCGTCGATGTAAGGATCAATGATATTAATTAATAAATGAAAGTCAAGCGTCTTCTCTTAATTAACAAATACATACGCAAACATTATGTATTGTTGTGCGGTATTTGATACTGTTATACTTACTGCACTTACTTCTTTTAAATTCTGTACTCTATTGTTTTGTTTAAAACTAGGCATGACAGTATTGTATACAATTTAAGTCATTTTACTACACAATTTATTTAATTGAAAACAAAATAGAGTTGATTCAAATTTGCACTCATTTTTTTCATCCTGTTTCATACAGTATATTTCATACTGAATCTTAGGCGAAAAAGTGTAAAAATAATATTTGTAAATTGCATGATCTACAATTTTTGTTTGACCTACTTTTATCATAAAACTAACCGCTCCTCTAAAAAAACCAAAAAAACCCATTTTTGCGAACTTTGGACCTTGAATAAAATCGATGGGGACTTTTCACAATTTCATTATAATGGCATCCCTAACGTTCGTGTAAATTTTTAGCTTCTTGGGAATTTATGCAAAGGTCCTCATGTCCCCAAATTGATCTCGAATATCTCGTGGAAGGGAGCTCAATTTTCATATCCATGAAACCACTTCTTCTCGGCCTTGATGCGCAGTGTTTCGTATCGGCTTGAATTCTGTTGCGTTATTTCCTCTTCCATCTGAGGCAGTATCTCTCTAAACTGCCTCAGACAAACTTCCTGTTGCTAGATCCGGAGCGCTTGTTTCTTATCATTTCTTCATTATTCTGCTCCGTCTGCTGTTGTTCCTGCATTTCCTGTAGATAACCTTTCGTGCAGATCTTTAGCAGATTGTCTCTGTATAATACTGTGGGTTGTGGTATTCATCATTTGGGTAAGTAAAGTATTTTTGCCATTTATTTAAACTTATTTCGGTTGGCAGTCATTGCACATTCCTCGTAGGGCGTCTAAATATTTATGTACGCATGGAAGGCACAATTACTTTTACTCCTTGTTAGGATATTGGAAACGATCGCGTACGTACAACAACAACAATTTTAATTAGAAATTCGAATATGCCATGTCATGAGCTGCTCTAGTACCCCGTAAAGTCCAAGCACCCTAAGTTTTACGATCCAGAGAGAAATTATCATACGTTACCCACCTTCGAGAGCTTATTATTAGCCATATTTTTAGAAAAAAAAGTTCTCCTTTTAATGAAACATACCCTATGTGCGATACAGAGAGGTGAAAATCGATTGACTTAAAAATGTGAAATAAGTGAAAACATAAACGTCGGTTTTATTTTCTTCATTAACAGTATTACGCATTAATGTTGTAGTATTATTGGCATAGCGCAATTATGAAACTCGATTAATCTATCCACTTGATTTTCGATTGTGGAGTTGGTGCACTCGTCGAAGATCCTTATAGCCAGAGCCTGTCTTTCTCCTTCGTCCTTGTCAAACGCAACCAATCCCTCCGCCAGTGATTTGATAGTGTTATCCTTGTCGAAGTTACCACTCGCGTCGTAAAAATGTCGTTTGCCTATTTGACACTCCAACATCTTGACCGTGTCCTCGTCCTTGTTTACGATTAACATGTTTTCGTCGATCGTCTTCAATAGCGCTTGCTTATCGACACCTACCTCTTTCATGCATGTTGCAGTCGTCTCATCGATCATAGCGTCTGGTATTTCCACGCATAGTGCCTAAAATAATCAAATCAAAAGGTAATGCCACGAACCAATGTGGCAGCTTACCTTAACAAGGCAAAGGGAGAGGGTGTAACAAATTAAACTTTTGTTCATCTTGTCTATCGTAAACTGATTGCTTCAACGGTAGCAAGTCTGTAATAAATGCTTAACTGATGACCTTTGGTTGATAACTTATCTCCGAGACTTGTTGTGAACCGGTGGTTATTACTGTCAAATTCTTATCGGTTTCTTTCAACACCTCAAATCTCTACAAAGTATCTTTATAACAGATTTAGGATTCTGAAGAATTCTAAAGAGTGGTTTCAAAATGAAACATTTTACTGTGTAAGTGTTTTTTGCGAGTGCAGTTCATCGTAAGTGTGCTAAATAATTGATTACCGCTTCAAAAGGGCGATACTGCCCGAGTAAATAAAACCTTTTTGCCATTACTTAGTTATTTCGGCAGGTAGTTATTGCAAATACCTCGTTGGGCGTCTAAGTATCTATGTGTGCGTGGAAGGCACAATTACTTTTACTTCTTGTTAAGATATTAAAAACGAGCGCGTACGTACAACAGACACCAACTTTAATTGGAAATTAAAGTATGCCACTTCATCGACTGCTCTAGTACCCCATAAAAGTAAGGCTTTAGGGAGAAATTACGTGCATCCGAAAGCTTATTATTAGCCATATTTTAAAAAAAGATCGTTCTCGTTTTTATGAAACACAGCGATATAGAGAGATGACGATCGATCGACTTGAAAAATGCGAAACAGTAATGAAAACAGAAATAGCGGCTTTATTAGCGAGATAGTAACAGTATCACTCTTTAATGTTGTAGCATTATTGGCATGGCGCAATTATGAAACTCAATTATTCTGTCCACTTTACTTTCACTCGTGGAGTTGGTGCACTCGTCGAAGATCCTTATAGCCCGAGCTTGTCTTTCTGCTTCGTCCTTGACAAACACAACCATTCCCTCTACAAGCGCTTTGATGGTGTTCTCCTTGAGGAAATTACCGTTCGCATCGTAAAAATTTCGTTTGCTTATTTGGCACTCCAACAGCTTGGCGGTGTTCTTGTCCTTGTTTATGATTAACATGTTTTCGTCGACCATCTTTGATACAGCCTGTTTGTCAATACCGAGCTCTTTCATGCATGTTGCAGTCGTCTCATCGATCAGACTGTCGGATATTTCCACGCACAGGGCCTGAAATAAACAAATCAAAAGATAATGTGACTAATTGATGGGCCAGCTTACCTTAATAAGGCAAAGGGAAAGTGTGTAACAAATTAAACTTCTGTTCATCTTAATGTGTAACCGTATACTAATTCTTTCAACGGTATCCTGTCTGTAATATAAATGTTTAACTGCTGACCTTTGGTTGATAACGTAGATATCTTTTTTTTTTTAATAAATAAACGTTTAATGAAAATAATAGAACAAGAACAAATTACATATAAGAACGGGGTTTTAAAACATAATAAATTTCATCAAATGAATTACAAAATTGTTTTGTAGGCCCAGTATGTTGAAACGATGTTTATTACAGTTGTACATGATGTTGTTCCTAGGGAATAGGGAATAATATACCTAGGGCTCATTGAAAAATTCATTGGGGACCCAACGCAGTGGTGAAGCCATCTCCTGTTTGGGATGATTAATAATGACCAGAACCTGTTTTTATCAATTTTTTTACGTATATCTCAATTTTTCTTAGAATTGAAGGAATAGATAAGCTACAATATGTTTTTGTTAATTAGGGGAATCCGACCGTCCGAACTTTTGAACTTTGTCCAACCAAGTTTCAAAATTTTTAGATGATTAACCAAAAGTAACTTTGAAAACCCGTGCACGAAAATGGCTACCGCTAACCACCGTGGCAGAATGTTTAGAGGGTTTAATGTGATATTTTGTACTACTTCGTAATATATCAGGGACTATTTTAAAGAAACGTGCAAATTCCTTCCTTCCTACCTTGCATTAAAACAAAAAAAGTATAAGCACCAATAGCAGTGATTTACGACTTTCATATTCGTTCACGTTTTGAAATATTTTTGTAAAAGTTATTGGTGTAAACCGTTGTTTATAAATAAATAATAAAAATTTGTTGATTTATCATTTTAAAATAAGGGTTTCTTATTGTAAATTTAGTCGGTAATTGTTTTATTGATTTAATTGTTTGTTCTATTTAGTTTGAATGATAAATTGACAACGGGAAACTTAGGGAAAATTTAATAGAAATTTGTACATGAGTTTGAAGTTTTTCCTCGTCAGGTGTCGATAAAAAGTTGTTATCGGACAGGAATTAATTGAAATGCGAGATAGGCGATGCAGGTGTCTTATCAATTCTGGCGGCGTAAATGGAATTTCGAGTGTCGTCGGGGATAACGATGTTGATTTGTTTAAAGGGGGTGGCTTTTGCTAAAGTAAACGGGGCTGTCTTGGGTTACTTTGAAAGAGATCGTATTTGTCTGTGACGCTAATTTTGGTACCGGTAGTCCAAATAGCTGTGCAATTTTAAAAACAGAAAACGTAATCGTTCTTATATTAGTTAAATAGTGCGGAAACAAGTTTAATGTTGTGTAGAAGTTTTTACTCATGGCATTTCGAGTTTAAAAAGTTTGTGTTTATTAAGAATGAAGAAATAATCAAATAATTGGTGTAATACAAGAAAGTTTGACTATCCAATTGGTCACAAAGTTAAGAGTTATTGTCTTCGAGCCAGATGTGGTGCTTTAAAGGTGAGTTATTGTTGTTTCTGATGAGAATCGTTCAGATTTGTGTTAAATTTTTAAGTAACAATGTATTTTTTGTCCTGCACTATATAGGCATAAATGTCATTCGCAATTCCAATCGCAAATCTGTAGAACCCAAATACTGCAAAATTCTCCTATACAGGGTGGTGACTTGCGTAGTGCATCATAGGGATTTCAATGTAAAATTCATAACATGCGATTGTCTCCCCAAATTATTTTAGAGCAAAAATGTATTAAGGTTTTTTATAGAAATTTTTTACGCCAATCAACCGTATTAGTTTTCAATTTTTTACATAATAAAGACGGAAAATTGGAAAAATAAATTATATTTAGAACAGCGAATTCAACATAAAGAAAGACCAAATTACTAAAAACGGTTTCCTAATATAACAATTTACAATAAATGTTCGAATAAGTCACCATTAACTGCAAGACAGTAACCAAGTCGATCATAATAGCTATTTATGTTACAAGTACATAATCTATGACTTTAGTGGACGAGTCGAATTTATTGGCAGAGCGCGCTTGCGCGCGAGGCCAATAAAAAAGACGAGATAATAAAGTCTGATTATGTACGAGTAACATACTTAGCTTTATGTTCGACTCGGAAAATGTAGTTCATGTATGTATTGAAAATTTGCTGAAACTTGGTATAGATTTCACTATTTAATAACCAGAAATAACATAGTGTGCCTTTTGTGTTGTCATAGATACGTGTTGTTTGGAAAAAAATCTGTTGATGTGTACCTAGTGTCAATTTCGTTGGGTATTAACTAATTCTCTGTACCTAATTATGAATCCCAAGATGAGTCCAGAAGAAATTGATGGGTCCAACAGTATACAACAATTAGCCTGCAATGCCAGAGAAATGCGTTTACCAAGCAAATCAAAAACTGTATACGAGGCGGCATACAGGGAATACAGAAGGTGGTACTAGGGGAAGAAAATCAATTGCACCACGGAAGACTGTATATTGGCGTACTTTAGTGAGTTGGTCTCCTATAAAAGTTCTTCTTTATGGAGTAAGTACTCGATGTTACGATCGACAATTAATTTAAATGAGGGAGTGGATATAAGCAAATTTCCCAGCCTAATTCCTTACCTCAAAAGAAAAGGAGATTCTGACAGAGATCTGACAATTCTAAAATTAGTGTTGCCAGCAAAATTTTGGGAACGGGAATCGTTATGGCAAATTCTTCGTTCAGAAATTTAAAAGCCGTAGAGACCACCGAAATATTGCATCAAAAAGGTACATCGGGAATTAACATTACCAACAACTGTGTTATTAACATTAATTGAGTACCTATCTATAATTATTGAAATGTATAATATAGATATGTGTTCTTTAAATTATAGCATTCTGTTCCGTGTACTTCTTCTTTAAAACAGATCGTAATTTTAAAATGCATTTTCCAAAGAAATTGACAAGTGACAGGAGTCCAAATTACTTTATCATTATGGACTAGTCCAATAAAGTAGCAGATTATGGACGCTAAACAGTGTCATAACTCAGCGTATTATGATCGAGTCGAACATAAAATCCATTTCGAACTGCTGCTAATTGATAACTGGATTACTTTTTGTTTTAGAAAATTCCATGGCATCGCAGATTATTGAAAAAGATGCGGGTTTTATTTTTCCAATTTTCCATCTTTATATGAAAAAAATTGAAAACTAATACGGTTGATTGGCGTAACAAAATTTTTTCTACAAAAAACTTCAATACATTTTTGCTCTAAAATAATTTGGGTAGCCAATAATCGCATGTTATGAATTTTACATTGAAATCCCTATGATGCGTTACGCAAGTCACCACCCTGTATATACCATGTGTAATCAATATAATAGCATATAGCCCACGTTGTTGATATATTTAATTCCTCCCTTAGTATATTATTAGATTCAGTTAATTAACTAAAAAAATAATTGTCAATATTTTTTTTATTTTCACTTATTTCATGCTCAAAGTTTTTTTTCGACTATTGTTATTATTTATTATTCCACAATTACATTGGTATAACTATTATAAATTATGGGGGTAATAACCAACCATAAGTTATTTTTGGTATTTGAGATATTTATATAAACTTTTTTCTTTAATTATTATTGTTAACTCGGTAAAAAGGAAAAATCAAATTTACATCAAATATACTTTAGATTTTAATTTAAATCGAAAAATTGCAATGTGACAATGTGACATGTTCGCAGTAAGACAGATCTTTGTATCAACGTAAATAATTTTGGCTTTAAATTTAATTGTTGTATTAGATGTTTTTTAAAATTGCACGACACTACACCAGTAGCAGACATCACAATTGGTATAATATTGACTTTATTGAAATTCCAAACTGCCATCATTTCAATTGCTAAAGCTTCATACTTTTTAGTTTATTGGATTATTAACGAGCTCGAGTTTATAATTTTGTGGTGTCTGTCCGTCCGTCTTTCCGTCAGCACGATGACTCAAAAACAAATAGACCGAATGCGATGAAATTTTGAGGTGGATTCTTTATCAAATTTGTAGATCGGATTTCGTGAATTAGCAATGTAGACCAAAAAATATGGAAGGCCCGTTTGACTTCTCCGTTAGTTATGAGCCGAATTGCATGAAATTCAAAATGAGCATAGCTTTAGCCATAGAATACGTAATGCCAAGCCAAGCCGTACCCAGGAGCTCGTTTGCTATATTTGTTTAATTTATTATTAACAGAACTGTGGGTAATTTTTGAGATGTCTCAGATTTTCCTAATTTCTTTTTATCCGAATGTTATTTCCGATTTTATTCAAAATGTGTATATTCACACCATTCAATGGAACTTACGGAATTTGATTGAGGCCTTTCAAATTTATAACAGTTTTAAAGTCAATGTTAGAATTTTATTGTTGTGTCAGAACCCGATAAAAAGAATAGAAAATGGTGTAATTTGAACTAGATAAGTAAGTGTCTGTTGGGTGGTAGTGACCGCATACCAGCAATATCCACCGCCATAAGGGAAAAAAATGAAAAAAACGTTTTCGCCTTAAGGAGAGTAACTTTAGCGCATTTTCCATGAATTGATCAGTACTTCCCGAAAGGTCATATAACGGACTATTTATGTGTGCAAAGGAAAATAAGTTATAGCATAAATATTCTTATAAATAAGAAAGTCTGCGCATGCACACACATGATGTTTAAAATATGCAATATGTTTGCCTTTCCTACAACAATCTATGGTTAAAATTTAAAAAAATATCTCTTCAAATGAGCAATGAACATGTTGACATTGCGCATGCGCACATCTGATTTTTACAATATGCAATATTTACTAGACGCAGTTGTGGTTAAACTTTCAAAAATATCTCTATAAATAAAAAAGTTGAAATTACGCAGACTGCGCATTCGCGTATTAATCGTCAAGAATTTTCTTGGTTGTGGTGTCAGAGTTATTAGCTACCGAATGCAAAAAGAACGAACAAAATATCTTGAAAACTGTAGTTAAGACTTCGGGCAGACGGAGAAAGTGGCCATAATAGCGCCTTCCAACATGAGTTGGATTTGGAAAAGATTTAAATTCAAAACTTTCCCTCCCAAACTAACTAAAAAATACTAGAGCCACTTACTACGTCTTGTTTT